TTGGTTAATGTATTAATTGTGCATAGCGTGATTTTGATTATTGAAGTGTTTATGTTATAAATTMATTTGATTGTCTTTGTTGTTTCCTTGAAATTCTATATCTCGTTAACACATGCTTTTGATGAATATTGACTCTTATACTTCTAAATTTTTCTTATAAATGTACTTACATGAGTCATGATGTGCATGATATCCATTTAAACTCACTAAGCTTTGTTAGCTTATCCTTTTAGTGGTAACCCTTTCAGGAAAAGAAGTTAAGAGTAAAGAGAAAGTTGTAGATCGTTGATGGTTCGTGTTGGTATCAAAGACCGTCATATTTTGGTTTACGGTAGTTTATGCTTTTGGATAGTATTTGTCACTCTTTCCGGGTTGATGTTTTTCGATGAATACTTTCGGCCCTTTAGATGTAAATGTTGATCTAAAACTTATCTTTTTGATGGTAAATAAAAATATATATATATATGTATCCCGTATTTTGTTGAGGTTGAACTTGAAATTTAGCTTTAGATCTATCCATTAATTGTGGTTCGGTAACTGGTATGTTACAAAAAGCGTTCTTTACGTCTAGTTGATAGATGCCCCATTTCTTAGATAATGCCAAACTGAGGACGGTACGTATAGCTGGTTTGACCGCTGGACTAAAGTCTCATTGCAACCAACCCCCACCTGTTGGGATCTACCATCAACAACCAATCAGGGTTTGTGCCTTTCAAGATCACCATTAGAATGAAAGTTATGAGTAAAAATCCACATGCAACGAATAATATTAACATCCGAAGGCCTAGGCACAGGCTCGAAAGTTTCATTTTTAATTAAAGCATCATACTCATCACGCATTGCTTGATTCCAATAAGGATCACTTAAGGCGACTATGGGAGACGTTGGGATGGGAGGTTTCGGGGTAAGAGAACTAGAAAAAGCGTATTTGGGGTTAGGTTTGAGAATACCATGTTTGCTTCTATTGGCCATTTGATGGGTGGATGTGAGTGGAGGAGGGACAAGGTTGATCGGGGAAGGAGAAGGAGTCGAGCGCTGCTATATGGGAGTAGTAGTAGACTATCGGGGAGGTGTGGCAACATTATG